TGAAGAGGTTTTTCTATGTCTACAATGTACCATCTTCCCCACTGCCTCTTGGAATGGGGCCAAAGCCTCTATCTAAGGCTTATCTCAAGGGCCAGCCCCTGCGAAAAGCCTTTCCTGACCCAACCTCAGTCATTAGTGAGTGCTCTCTTCCTCCTCCAGTTATCATGCTTATATGGACATCCCACAGAATATAATGTGAGCTCCTAGGGGACTATTTTTCCTCTTTGTCTTTGTATCTGGACACCTCACATAGTACTTTGTACATGCAAGGTGTTTAAAAGAACATGTATTTTAGATTAGCTTGCATTATACTGAACTGTAGAACATGCAAAGAACTTTCATTCTGTCGGAGAGGAATAACCAAGACGCATTTGTATCATAAGGAAAGCAATTTGCAAAATTGAAAGTGCTTTACAAATATAGTTATTATTAACATTACTGTAATTATAAGTGATGTTGTGGGTTGGTGGGGGAGGTTCCCTAAAACTTGGAAGTGTGTCTACTGAAACAGCAAAAGCAAAGGCACAGACTAAACACGAGACTAAACATTTAAAATCTCATTCATGTCTTAGTATCTTAAATTTAATAATAATTCATTCAACTATAAGCTCCTTCAGAGCTGAAACTTTTCCCTGCCTTTCTTTGTACTCCCATTGCTTAGCACAGTGTCTGGCATATAGTAGGCACTTAAATGCTTTTTGCCTTAACATTTAAACCTGAAAAGAACATTAGAGATACATAAGTTCAGCCCCTTCATTTTACAGGTGAAGTACTAAAGCCCAGAGAGGTTACCATCTTGCCCAAGATCACACAGGTAGGCAGTAATTGACAGGTCCAGGATTCAAAACCAGGTCCATTGATTCTAGGGCCTTTTTCTCTGCAACACGATATGTGTGTGTGTGTGTGTGTGAGAGAGAGAGAGAGAAAGAGAGAGAGAGAGAGAGAGAGAGAGAGAGAGAGAGAGAGAGAGGGAGAGAGAGTATATTCATGGAAAGGCCTTGACTTTTCCATTTAAAATTTATAGCAAGAACATTTTATCAAAAAAAAAAAAAAACAAACCCTCCAAGATTATATAGAATATATATGTATATATAGTTAAGCTTGGCTTCTGTACATTTTGGACCAATAATGATTCACTGCTATCCATGGCCTTTTCTTCCTTTAATATATTTGGTAATTCATTCTCAATATTCCAAGGGATATACTGCATGTAACTTGCATGTAGCTGATCCCTAAGGTCAATTTCTCCTCTCTCAATGCCTTATAACTTATCTATCTGCTTATCTCCCCTAACTGCCAAAGGGAATTTATGTGTTTAGAACAAGTTCCTTGAAGAAAGGGAGAGGCATATTTTGAACATGTCCAGAATGAAAGGAATATGGAGAACCAGGAAAAACAATAAGAACTAGTCTTAGAGGCACCCCTGTCCTCTAACCCCAACTCTTCACACTAAAACTTGCCTGCTATTTTGGAGACAGCTTTTGGCGTCTTTCTCTGATACATAGCTTTGGAATATATTCGGCGTGCAGGATATCTGAATGCATTGACAATATATATCAAGGCTAGTAACTGCATTTTTTTTTTCGCAAAGCAGCAGATGCATCTACTGCTCCTCCTTAATAATGCCCAGCAATTAAATAAGAGGAAGGGGATCGGGGTGGGAGGAGTTTCTTCTGAGAGTCAGGGAGAGAAACGGGAAGAAGAATGCTTGCTCAGGCACAGTCCTCTGCCATGCCTTACTTGTGACTCCTCCAGATGACTTTCCAGCTAAGTACCAGTGCAAGTGATGCTCTTTCCAACTCGGAGTCCAGGCATCCTTCTCAGCACAAGGACGCGGGATCAAGGATGTGGAGATGGGAAGGACTTCAGAGGTCAACCCGCTTATTTGAGATGAAGAAATCAGAAGCATTTCTAAGCAAACCTAAGGCATCAGAAACGTTCACTCATTGCTCAAAGTCACACAGGTGTTAAGTGTTGAAGGCTGAATGTAGCCCTTGGTCCTTTGACTCCAGAACCAGTACTCTTTCTACTCTGCTGTGCTCAATGGAACATACCTGGCCATTTATGAGGTGAAGATCCCTCAATATCCACTAAGTGTATATCCCATTCTAGTGAGGTTATAGAACATTTTAGTTGTAATATTGGGCTGGGAAAAGGATCTGCTTTTTCTTTTCTTTTTCTCAGATTGCCCATGAACTACTTATTCTAGAACTCAATTCTTTGGTGGAGTAGTTGTCAAAGAGGCTGAATTGTACTGCTTCCTCTCCTCCGATATCTTTGCTGGGCTCTAGAGAGATAGCTAGAAGAGAGATACGAGGATTACAGATTTAGAGCCAGAAGGGACTTTAGAGATAATACAGTTCAACCAAGTGAGGAAATCAAATTCTAAAGGGCGTATACCTGGCTATACGTGTGTGTATATGTATAAGTATATGTGTGTGTGTGTGTGTGTGTGTGTGTGTTCAGTTGGCAAGTTGCAGAATCAGGATTTGAACATCGGTTCTATGACTCTAAATATATGGTCTTTGGATTTTAAATTCAGCTCTTTCCACAGTAGCAAATTACATCCCCAGGGATAAGATCAATCTAAGAAATATTTCCAGCATTTTGGGTAGACCCCTGGTTGCAAATTTAAATAGACATGGATGAGACATGAATGGCTAGAGATCTATATTTTTGGAGAGAATACCTACATCTACAGAATGTAAACTCCCTGAAGTCAGGACCTGTATGGTTGCTGTCTTTGTCTTCCCAGCATCTGCCATAGTGCCTAGTGTACATTAATATGTGCTTGTTGAATTGTACTGAGAAGGGCACAGGTCCACTGTCATACATTCATTCATTCCAAAAACATTTATTATGGGCTATTCACCAAAAGTATGTAAGCTCCCTGAGGGCAGGTATTGTTTCATTTTTGTCTTTGTATCCCCAGTGCCAAGTACTGTGTCTATTTCATTGATAAATATTTGTTGAATGAATAAATGAACTTTCTTCAAATAGAAGAGTAAGTAGGATATATTAAAAAAAATCAGTGGAACCCCAGCTTGTTACATTTTCACCTATCTCCCAGAGCCCCCTCATTTTTCCTGAGTCATCCTTTTCTTGTTTGCCACACTGATTTTCTACAGTCAACAAAATAACAACGATAATGAGGTATTACAGTTTTTAACATTATCTCCAAGTGTGATACATTTGTCATAAGTCATCATCAACTCACAAAAACCAAACTGCTGCATTTGGAAACATGAGTTGTCCTTCCAACACAATCTAGAGTAAGAGGATTGGAGGTGTGAGGGGAAGAAGGGCGGCATAAATGAAAGGCATTCTAGTGGCAACAACTACCTTGGAATTTTCCAAGAGTGGTTTTAAAAATGTACCTTCTCTATTACATTCAAATTATCTTCAATTAAGTCACTGTAGATCATACTGCTAGCCTATGTTTCTAAGTTGATAAACACATTATCTCCTGTCATTCAGTCTATACTCCTGCCAAATTGGTTTTCTAACTACTTTTTATACTCGGAATTTCATCTTCTATTTCCATGTCTTTGTACATTCTTTCCCTGATGGATGAGATGCTATGCCTCTACTCCTCCTATTTCCAAGATCCTTAGTTCTTTTCAAGGTTCAACTCAAGCACCACCTCTTATGAGAGCCCTTACTTTATTCCCCCCGATGTGTGTCTTCCCTTAAGAAACTTTCTTGTACATATTAATTTGTATATATTATGCATTTGCTTATTTATGTTGTTTCTCCTAAGTAGAATGTAAGTGCCTTGAGGGCAGGGATTATTACATTTTTCTCTTTGTATCCCCAGGACCAAAGACATTGCCTGTTACACAGCAAGTATTCAATAAATGTTTGTTGAATTGTCAAATTCTGATGAATTTTAAGTGATCTGTATCAGTTATCATTTAAAGACCTCTGAGACCCAGACCTTAGGTCCAACTTGAACTTTTCAGGGCCAGACCAAATTCTGCCATATCCCTTCACCCAACTGGGTGAATTATACATTGACTCTGAGGAATTTCCTTGAAGTTGTTCATCCAGAGTGGACTTCAATTGAACTCCATGTGTCTTTTGGCACCTTAACGCTTACCAAAGCCTACTGACAGCCCTAATGAAAAGTAAAAATACCACAGCATCCGCCCTAAAGGCTCCCGGGCTCTAGGAGGAGTCACCAGCACCAATCCCAGATACTGAGGAACATAAGACAGCATGGCTGAAGAATATTGTAATATTTCTTTTCCAGGGGCAGGAGAAGACACTCTAAACACCTTCTAGTATTTGAGCCACACTTCAAATAAGCTCTATCCAGGTACAGAAAAAAACCAACAATATTTTATTTATAACCTTATTTTAGTTTTTTTTTTAAACTACAAATTCTGGTTCTAGAGTCATTAAAAGATCATGGGATTTATAGATTCTGACATGTAAATTAATCTCTTATTTGTTTGCTTTTTTTTTTCTTTTTTCTTTTCTTTTCCACAGAAGGGTCTTCCTGGTAAATACAGAACAGGTCATTACATGAAAAATATAAGATTTTGCATTTTTTTCCTCTTTCTCTCTTATAAATCTATGTCTAATACTGCATTCCCCTGTTGGAGTATTTCATAAGGGCATGAGAAGAAGAAAAAAAAAAAAAACAGAAGAGACAAAATAGACCGAATCTCACCACTAGAATTCACCATAAAAATCCCAAAGTGTAACAGAATTCTTACAAAATTTCCTAGACCAGTTCTTTAGGGAATTGAGATCTCCTATGAAAAATATGGCAAAGAGGGAGGGAGGGCAGCAGGGGAAGGGAGGGTAAATAAATGCAGCAAAACAGGTTCTGAGGAATACACATCATTTTGTCTGCTTTAGATCACAATAGAATTTTTAATAAATAAATTTCTTTTCTTTTTTGTTTTTTTTGTAAAGACACTTTTTTTTGAAACAGTAGATTTAGCCCAGTCATTTGTGTCATTTTTTTTTATAAACCGTCTGTTGTTTTTGTTTTTTTGTTTTTTCTCTGTAACTTTTGTAAATGTTTTAGATTTGAGTCTCTTGTACATTGTCTTTTGAGTTCATTCGGATCAACAACGGTTCATGCACTGAACTGTGTATTGAGTTTATTGTGTTAACTGTTGTTGTGTGGTTGAAGGGAGATTTGTAAGAGTTATAGTGATTTAGGTGCTCATGTTCTATAGCAGGCATGGGCAAGTGGCTCTCTATGGGTGTGTCCCCTGTAATCTCATCATCCACATTAATGATCTCAACAGTCCGCGTGGGGGCGTGGTGGTTTTGTCGATGGTGCTGTTTCCTCATCTTGTAGAAGATGACCAGCATCACCGCTGCCATGAGAGTGATGGCCACAAAGCAACCAATGATAATCTTAGTGGTTTTCATCACCTCATCAATTCCCGGGATGCCATTGTTTATATCGGTCACAGGGATGGTAAATGTCTTTTCGGTTGACCTTGTGCTCTGGGGCGTAAGAGAGGTGGTCACATTGGTGGTCTCCCAGTCAATGACTGGTGTGGGCCCCACATTGTTCTCTGTGGTTCGGGCCTCGTCCTGAGAAGGTTCCATAGTCTCTACGGTGACAGTGGAAAAATACGAGAATGGGGTAGTGGTTGCTGCGGTCACATTCAGGGTGGCTGAAGCTGTGGTATTCCCGACAGAGTTACTCACCATGCATGTGTACATGCCTGTATCTTGTATAGTTACATTAGTAAAATTTAATGTGCCATCACTGAGCACAGCAATCCGGACCTTGTATGCCCCATGTGTCATGATCGTCCCATTGGGAGTAATCCAAGATACCGAGGTCAGTGAGGTGGAGGCCCGACACTTGAGCTCTGCAGCCATGCCCTCTGTGACGTTGAGGTCCGCGGGAGGTTCAACGATCACAGGAGCATAACAGGTAAAATAATTCTGGTCCAATTCCCCAATGTACCTCCCTTTCAGGTTTGAGGGTGTATTACAGCGGGCACAGCATGCAGTATTTGAGGGCGCCATGTCCTTTATCCACCAGCTGAGCCACAGAATATCACAGTTGCAGTTCCAAGGGTTGTGATGCAGATGGATCCGCTCGAGGTGATGGAGGGGCGTGAAGAGGTCGTGAGGCAGTAAGGTCAGATTATTGTGCGCCAGGTTGATCTCTACCAGTGACTGAAGGTTATCGAATGCATTCCTTTCAATCACTTGTATCTGTGACTGGATCATCCACAATTTCTGAAGGTGCATCAAACCCTGGAAAGAGCCTGGCCTAATGGCGGACAAATGATTCCCAGAAAGATCCAGCTCATCCAACTTGATGAGTGGTGTGAGGTTGGGGATTTCCCGCAGATTGCACATGGCAAGGTTCAGATACCTCAAGTTGGAGAGACCTTCAAAGGCCCCTTCTGAGATGTACGAAAGCCTCTTCAACTCTCCCAAGTCCAAGCGGCGCAAAGATGGGATTCGGTTAAAAGCATAAGAAGGGATGCTCTCGATGGGATTATTTCGCAGCCAGAGTTCCTTCAGTTTCGACAGGTATACAAAAGCCCCATTGGGGATGGTGGTCAGCCGATTGTCAAAGAGCTCCAAAGTGTTGAGGTTTGCCAAACCATTGAAGGCCCCGATTTCAATGGTACGGATGTGATTCCTGCTTAGCTGGAGGATCTCCAGGTGTCTGAGGTGTTTGAAGCTGTTTACCTTGATAATCTGAATCTGGTTCTCGTGGAGATTCAGGAGCCGCGTGTTGGTAGAGATGCCGTCAGGGACCTCTCTGAGGTTCTTCCGCACACAGATGACCTTGCTGAACTGGTTACTGCAGGAACATACAGAAGGACAGGTTTGGGCCCTCACCAGACCAGCCACCACGAGAAGTTGGAGAGCCAGGAGCACCACAAGCAGGGGGTCAAATAGGGCCCTGTTAAACCTAGGACCTATCATTATCTGCTGTGGATGTAAGATCATCTTGTTCAACATTCATAATTTATCTGGGGTTGGGCCTTCTGGAGTTCAAATAATCTGAAAAAAATGGAAACAATGAACACGTTAGATCTCTGACAAATATCCTTCTTGCAAAAATGTCATTGGCAGAGGTTTTATGTTCAGACTCTTCATTCCCAAAATGAAGAGAATAAATAACCAGTTATCCTTATGGTGAGCTATACTATTTGACATTGACTGTGAAATGTGCTCTGACCCAATCAGCACACAGCAGCAGTTCAAGTAGGACCACGAGAGAAAAGTGCAAAGAAATGGAAGACAGGAGTGATTGCACACAATACCTTAGCAGCCACCTGAAGAAATGAAGGGACCATGATATTTATCAGAAATGCCTCAATGTCATCTTAAATGTCTGGATCATTGGATTGTAGATTGAGAGCAGCAAGTCGGTTTTAGGTCATCTGCTCTAAATCCCTCCTGTTATAGATGAGGAAAATAACGCCCATGCAGAGGGAGTGGACTTTCCCAAGGGCACACAGCTAGTGATGTTCAGACCCAGATTCTCTGGTTTAAAGCCAATCTAATTTAAATTAAGACAATTCTTATTAAGTAGGTACCATGTGCCAAGCACTGTGCTTACTACACATTAGGGACACAAAGAAACAACACGAACTAGACTTGTTCTGTTTTTTTTTTTTCCAGAAGATTTTTTTTCCAACTAGGAAGCAGAAAAGAGGCAAATTCATGTTTGATTCCTAGAAAAGCTCCATTACAATCAGATGGCTCCCAAAGTGGAATGGGACCTTCGCAGGTACCAACGTTGCCTCTGGAGGCAGTGGATTCCCCCTTACTGAAAGTCTTTAGGAAGACTGGGCGATTGTTTGCTGGGGATATTGTAGAGTAAGGATTGGACTGTGTACCCAACAAGTTCCCTTGAAAATCTTGAAATTTTATGATTTTGAGTGATATTTTGCTTCAACATTGGACAGACTGGACTCAAGGTCCACCTATTATTTAAGCATCTTCTATGTGAACCCACCATTAACCCCTTTATTTTTTTCCTCATAAAAACAGCCTCTCTTTTTCTGGGAAGGAGGGTGACCCCACATGCAAATACTGACAAGTTAATATCTAATAATGAAGCCTTGGATAACATTTGCTTAACTATGATAACTGAATATAATAGCCCTGATATAAAATGAGTACCTTACAAGATAGGTCACAGGGGCTTAGATCTAGAGTTGGAAGAACTTTAGAGACTATCTATTGTTTCCTTTTAAGGATGAGATAACAAAGGCTCAGAAGAAGTTGTAATATGCACAAGGCCACATGGGTAGTGGTCCTCTGATGCCAAACCAAGCATCATTTTCACTATGGCAAACTGTTTCCTGTAACAGCAAAAAAAAGGGAGGGCAGAGGATTAAGGTAAAAGGGCAATACATTCATTAACCATCAGTTTTTAATTCCACTTGTTGGAATTATCTTCCAAGAAAAAGGTTGTTTCTCAAGTAGGCTTTGGAATCAGAGAAATTGGGCCACAACACTACATCTGATGCATACTACTTAAGTGACCCTGAGTAAGTAATTTATCCTTTCTCGGTTTCAGTCTGCACATCTATAAAATGAGGTGATTGGAGTGAATGACCTCTAGGGTGTCCTTCCAGACCTCTAGACCCAAGTTCCTATGAACCTTGTGATATGCAGTAGATATCCCACTTCCCTGTAGTCTGCTTTTATTACTAGCTGTAAGGAGCTTTCCAAACCTTGAAGCCTGATCTACTTTCAGTGATTATTATCTTTTGCCTACAATGTCCAAAACACTATAATCTTCTAAGTACTATAAGTTTCAATAGCTCCCTACTACCTGTAGGTAATTAGGCTGATAATGATCTTTTGCTTGACATTTTAGGCCTTGACAATCTAGGTCTGTTGTTCTGGAATTAATAAACCTTGCTTGCTTTCATGTCCTTTAAGTTTTAGCCCAACGTGTTCCATGTCTCATCTCTGAGCCTTTGTGCAGACTCTTCTCTAACAATGTAATACTATCCCTCCTCACCTTTACCTCTTGAAAGCCCTGCCTTCCTTGAAGAAGCTAAATATACACAAATAAGTGTGTTCAAGCATCAGGGACATTTATACTGGCAAGGTACTGTAAGGAATATGTTATCTGAAGAATGCCAGACGCATTGTTGGCACTTGGTCAGCATTACAGCCTCATCATTAGGGCGGTAATGATCAACACTAGCCCTGCTGCTATGAAATTATTATTTATAAACAGATCTCTATGCAGAGTTAGATTTAAATAGTCATTTGTTATTTCCAACTCTCAACATATTAAGCAAGGTTCTTTGTCATCACAAGGACAGAGATGAGAATAAATATGATACAAGATGGGGAAAAAAAGTAAATGACTTAAAATCACAATGTTCTGGTCTTTGTTGGTGACTTATGGCTGGAGAGGTGTTAGAAAGGATGGTTCCATTGCATTTCTGGTGCCCCATGCCCCTCCAAGACTACAGTGGGTAGGATTACTCAATTAAATCAAATTCAATGAACATTTCTTAGGCACTTATTACTAATGAGGCCTTACAAGGCAATGGGGATAAAAAAAAGACAAAACTGGAAATCTGTCTCTTTAGGAGCATACATGCATACATTCTACTAGTAGAAACAAAATGTACATACTTAACCAAAAAGATACTGATGGATCACAGGTCTAGAATATAAACAGAGGAGAGAGGGAGAGAGAAAGGAAAGGACTGTCTGGGCTTCCCCATCATCATTGACTTTTAGTATTTCCCCCTGTTGAACCACAGTGTCCTGCCTTCCTGGTGACTTTTTTTTCTTCCTTCCTTTCCAGGCTGTGGTGCATTTTCTGTCTATTGCTTTACTTCAAGGTCTCTCTGGAGTAGCGATTAATGAAATTCCCTATAAATCAACCATAAGTGAAGTCTTATGAATTACAGCTGGCTCAGAGCACATTTATAACACAGAGCAACTGAATGCATAATGAATGGATCGACTGGAGCAAACTACCCTCCCAGACAGGTTTCCCACTCTAAGTTCCAAATGGTTTCATTTGGCATCAAAATGCCACGTTACGATATATGAGTGTATAAAAATTTATTTCACATCAAAGTGAAACCCATTTAAATATATTCAATCTTCAAAATGATATTGTCAGACAATGTATACTTATGAATTTATTTTGGGAGGTTTTATATTTAACTGCTCCTACACTTAGAGTCGCTTCCCAAAGGATGCCCTGTTTTCCTCAGTACAGCTTTCTCTTTTCTTTGTCTACCAGTGTTTCTGGGACACCAATAAATGGCACATGGGCTGAAGCATAAGAAAGATATAACCAGAAGGGTCACTAACAGAATGTGTGACTGTGTAGTATCATTTCATAATTTCCTATTTATCCTGTATATAGCTTGTTTGGCATATACTTATTTGTATGCTGTCTTCCCCATTAGATTGTGCGCTCCTTGAGGGAAAGGACTATCTTTTGCCTTTTTTTGTATCCCCAGCACTTAAACATAGTAGGTACTTAATAAATGTGTATTGATTAAAATGGTTCTATGATTGTACTTCAAAGAATTCTGGGCTTGAAGTTATACAGACTGTTCAAATTATGCTTCTGAAATCTATTGGATATCTGATATTGGGTTGTCACTATGGAAGTACCTCTGAGATTAATATGTCTGTTTGCTGTCAGTTACCTTACCAGGCAGATGCAATGGACACAGAATAAACCTATTTGCTAAAAGGAGTCAATCAGTAGCCGGCAGTGAGCCAAAGTCTTGCTCACTCCCAGAAGCGTTTGCTGATGTTCTCTGGCTTACCTTGCCGAGATGTGTCCCCACCTCACTCTACCCAAAATGACCCAAACCAGCCTTGCAGTCAACTGTTCTTGCAAAACATCCTGCTTCTATGTCTACCTGTTCCTGGGAAACACTGTCCATTCTTTTTCCCAACCCCTCCCTGAACCTCCCTCTTCTGGTTTTCCAGCATAAATCTCTCCTGCCTCCCCAGGGCTGTGGGATGATTTGGACCTTGTACTAGGGGCCTCAGTACTAGTGTCTGACTTTCCCCTTAATAAAACTTTTCTGTTTTCAACTCAGAACTCCTCTGTATTTTTAGAGGTAGGCTTTGCCTGGTTGACATCATTGAATACATATGTGTCATTAACAACTTCCTAGAACTTGCCATGCATACAAATGGTGATAGGCATGGGAGGAAAAGATGAAATTCAGTCAATAATTGGGTTATTTTGCAACAAATTTGGTAGCAAAATCCTGGATGTCCTAGTTGGACATCTTGAACTGGATACCTCATAATTTAAACTCAATGTGTCAAAACTGAACTCATTATTCTCCCCTCCCAAACTCTCCTCTCTCCTAGCTTTCCTCTTACTGAGGAGGGTACCACCTTCCTCCCAGTCACCCATTCTTGGTGCGTCATCCTCAACTCCTCCCTCTCTCTCACCCCTCATACCCAATCAGTTGCCATATCCCATTTATTTTCCCTTGGCAACATCCTTCTTCTTTCCTCTGACACTCCCACCAACCTGGTTGCAGGTCTGCACTAATTCATAGCTGGACTATTTCAAGAGTTTTCTGGATGGTCTCCCTTCTCCTAAGCCTCTCCCTTCTCCAATCTAGCCCTCACTCATCCATCAAATTGATTTGACCATGGCACTACAGTATTCAATAAACTGCAGTGGCCCCCTAGTACCTCCAGAATCAAATATAAAATCCTCTCTTTGTCTTTTAGCATTTTTTTCGCAATCTGACCCCTTTCTCCATTTGTAGTGTTCTCATGTTTTACTCCCTCCACTTCCTCTGCAGTCTAGTGATAGTGGTCTCCCTATTTTTCTTCACACAAAACACTCCTCCTGAGTCAGGGAATTTCCCCTCACTGTCTCCTATGTTTCCTCATCTCTGCCTCCTGGCTTCTTTCATTGTGTCAAGTAAAGTTCCATCTTCTGCAAGAAACCTTTTCTGTTCCTTTTTAATGCTTGTGTTTTCCCTCTG